TTTTTTTTTTTAATGTATAAATGCTCACTGAATGAAGGGATATAAATATGGATTGAGGGGAGAAAGTAGACAACAGAATCTTTGCTGGACCAGTATTGACAAAGTCTGTCCTTAAAAGAGCCATTGGAATAGGCTTGTGGGAAGCCCATGGTTTCCTGGCTGTAACCTAAGACAGGGCTTCGTTGTTGAGGCACAAGAAAACTCTTGTTGGTGTGATTGTTTGAATGGTTCCAGAGTCGTAACTTAAGCTACAGCTATTTATGGAACCTTACACATCGTAAGAAGTTGAGTATCTGCGAGTTCATGGTTAACGTGCCTTTCAGCTATGACCGCTCCTGGCGCTTGTGGGACCTGGAGGCGCAGGAGGAGATCCTGCATCAGGAGGGCCACAGCATGGGTGTGTATGATATTGCCTTCCATCACGACGGCTCTTTGGCTGGCACTGGGTAAGGCCTCTTCCACATAGCAAGGGGCAGTCATTGGTCCCACATCTTATATATGCTTGTTTCCTTGGAAAACTGGATTCAAAAAAGTGTTGTTTACAAATTATCTTCTCAGGGGACTGGATGCATTTGGTCGAGTTTGGGACCTGCGCACTGGACGCTGTATCATGTTCCTAGAAGGCCACCTGAAGGAAATCTATGGAATAAATTTTTCCCCCAATGGGTAAAATAAGCTCACTGGATGAGGGGTGGAGAGGGTTCTTGGTCAAAAAGCAGTTTCTCTGACTCTGGCGGTGTGTCTGGTCCACAGCTACCACATCGCCACTGGTAGTGGGGACAACACCTGCAAAGTGTGGGATCTTCGGCAGCGGCGCTGCGTCTACACCATCCCTGCCCATCAGAACTTGGTGACTGGCGTCAAGTTTGAGCGTAAGCTTCCCCCGGTGTTAAGCCTAATCACCAGACGAAACAGAGACTGAGATTGCTCTTCCATGGAGTGCAGGTCCAGCTTTAGCTCCGCTTGGATGTGGTACAGGAGAGAAGTTAGAGTCTATCGAAGCGCAAATCATAACGTCCTCCCTCTGCCAGGCCTTTAGACAGCGATAGGGCACAGGAGGCCTCTCGTGGCGAGAACAGAAAGGTTTCCATGAATGCATTGCTTCTTTTTTTTTCTCCATGGAAGTTCTAAGCACTGCATCTAATACTATTTTGAACAGATTGAAAAGACCTTGAATAAGGTCATTTCCTCCCCTAAGTTTCCCTTTGGTTGTCCTCTTTTGATGGAAGCCCAGC